CTGGGGAGGGATTGCTGCGAAGATGCAGTAATGAAGATCTGAGATGTAGAGTTACTGGCTAAAGGCCAGCAGAAACACTGGTCACTTGAACATGTTCATTCCTTCCCAGCTTTGAAAGTTTCACCAGGGGAAAAAAGACAATTAAATGTGCCATAATGATTGGGAAAAATTAAAATGTTACCATATTACATCAAAAGAAATAAGGCGTGGGAGCAAATAAACCCACAGCACTTCCACCATGCTTGCTTCCCATCACTGATACGCAAGTCAGAAGGTGGCTCCTAATCCAGGCCGTTCCCGTGCTGGCACTTCACGTTACTTTAGCTCATGAAGGAGCAGTAAATATCCAGAAGGAAAAACAAATAGGCATAAAACCTCCTCACCTACCCTTCACTGCAATTAATTGAGATGCAAATACTAATTTTCTTTTACTAAACCATCAAGAAAATCCCTGAATCTGGAAGTTATGAGTGGATTTTCATGACATTAAATTGCCTGGCCATGGTATAACTCTCCATGCCATTTCTAACCTGCTCTGAAAGCAAAGAAGAGGAAAAAAAAATCCCTGTAATCAGTGTCTGCAGGAATGTTCACTTGTCCCATGAGCCTGGCGATGTTTTTTTAAAAAATCGTACAATTAGGAGCCTAGACGATGTAGGAATATGCATTTGGAGCTTTTCCACAATTTTCCTGGTATATCCAACTGACTGAACATGTTATTAGCAGGTTTTTTCAGTGCATGCTATTAACCCAGTTGACTTCTTTCTGGTATCTGTTATATAAATCTGCACTTAGCAATACAGCAGAATAATTTGCTGTGTGGTGCTCCTGTGATAAGGATAAGAGGATTTTTTTTTATCATCATTATGGACGGTAATAATTCCTACACTGGTACAGAGATATTGATCCACTGATCTAAAAAAAGCATTTTAGAAAGGTAGAGGAGCACCGCTATCCTTATTTTAAGGAATGGGCTAACGGAGAGATGATGAGAGACCAACTCACCTACAGTCAATACAGAGCGTCAGTGGCACTGCTACAAATCAAACTTGGGTTTTTCTGGCTATTTTTGCACACTCCAGCTATCATTGCACGGCTGTCTGTGTTGGCATCTGCGGTCATGTAGACGTTACACAGTGCTAGGAGTCAGGAGGTCTGAAAGTATCCTTAAGCCGTTTACAATAAGTGATTTAAAATCTTAATCATCTGAGGCAGTTCACTTCTGCTTTTTCATGATAATGAAGCTTAGCACATGATATCACAATCATGAATTTTTGTAAAGCGTATTTAGCTCTTCAGAAAAAGTGCTGGATTAAACAACCCTGCAGGCTGAATCCTTCTCTTTGAATAATGAATATCGTAGAGGCGGTGGCAAGCTTCTTTAGATAGTCCCATGAACCCTGCTAAAGCGAAGGCCAGCCTCCATGTCTGTTGAGTCCCTGGTTTCTTTATCTCCACAGCCAACAGGGTATTTTTATTTTTTAATACTTTTCACAGCTAGGAATTACTCTCTGCCAGCCAACTAATATCGCAGGGACTATCTCAGAGCCTTTGGAAGGCAATGCCTTTTGGTTGCTGCCTATTCCTTGTAGCTGGATGGAATATAACAAGTTACAGATGTAAACCACGATTATTTCTTAGGTGCAGGAGTGAACATCAGTGGGGAAAAAAAGGTCTCAAGGAAAAAAAATAAATCTCAGATTCTTTAAAATATACTGCTCCACCACTGGAGCTTTGTACCATAATTTTAGTCTTGTTTTACAGATGAGTTTCAAACAGCTGACAAGAGGAATTTGGAGTAGAAACGCTGATGGTCCATTATCAGTAGTGACAGCTATGGGTGCAACTTTATTAAAGTCCTGTCAACTCTTGGCGAGAAACTACAATAGAAACAACCAGTTCAATCTCTCTCCCTCTCTCTCTTTATCTTAGCACTTATATCACACTCATCACAAAGTGTTACATTTCCCCTTGATGCCACAGGATAGGATTTCTCCTTGCTACCGGAGCCATGTGGCACGCAACAACCCTACAGGCTGCCTATGGCTTGACAGCAGATGGTTACCGTACTAGTGGTGAGGTTGCTGCTGTAGTCTAGACTTGGCCTAAAAGTCAACTGAAAGCTTTTTACTCTTTACTAAGAAAAAATAAAGAGCACAAATCAAAACTGTTCTCCTGAGCAGTGTAATCTGGAGCTGTTCCGTGCAACTGTCTGCTGGCAATAAAGATTATTTGCCTGAACCCTTTAACAAAGCTTGAGAGTTGGCGTAAATACCAATGAATATACTTTTCGAGCTCTTTTCATCTGAGATACCACGGAGTGCGCTTGCTATGCAATTGAAAAGAGATGCCAAACAGAGTTTATTGGAGCATATTTCCATCTCACTGCTGTGAGCCTTGCAAGTTCCTGAAGGCTCTGGCATGGCAGGGACAGCGTTTTCCTAAGACAGTGACTATTTTTCATTCATGCCTCTGCGTCTGGGAGGGAAGCACATCCGGACGGGTGATGGGGAAAACAAATACTGCTTGTGCAAAGGGAATTAACAGCTTGGAAACGGTAACATGAATTAAAACTCGTTAAGTATTGGAACTTGTTACAAAGATTTAACTGCGTAAATTCTCCCTCTTGCTTTAGTGAACCAGCTTTTCACCCTGTGCTCTTTCAGCAAAGCTCCCTCCACTGCAAATCTCTCTTAGCACTTTTCATTTCAACTGCAATACCAACCGTTTTCCCAGCACTTTGCCTTCTCTCATGGAGCGGTGGTTTTGTGAAGCTGATAAACATCTGCCTGAAAACTTGGTTGGCATGGCTGAACTCATTTTCAAGTGTGAACATGGGTGTATAGAAAGCAATTCAAGTTTAACACGGCATGATGCATGAGGTCATGATAGAATATCAGTCGTGATTGTGACCGAAATAAACCCGAGTGGCAGAGAGGATACAGCTCTGCTATGACTACTGGTGTGTGACCTACCTGGACTGAGATCTTCAGCCTCCAGCAGGAGAGAGCGAGCAGCACATTAACTCTATGGCTCTGCTGGCTGCCAGACAACACTGCCCTGCCTGATATGCTGGTGAGGTGGCTTAAAAATCTCAGTTTGTGATTATTGTGAGATTGCTATTTACAGCAGAACAAAACTACCCCACCAACCTTACTTACCCTGTCGGATTTCATAATTAGCTTTTCTATGCTCGTACCATGACCAATGTCTGTTGAATAAAAGCAAGTACACAGTGGGATTTCTGTGGTTCCCAGGAAAGATCCATTTCTGTGTTGGGTGATGCTGAGAAGTCAAATAAATCATTTTGGGGCTCAAAACATCTGATGCCCAGATCTTCTTATTTCAGCAGTTACTTAGCTCCTTTCCCACTTGTGTCTTCCATTACCCCTTCCCTGTGCTACTTAGAAAATGAAATCAGTGAAAATCAGAAATATTTGTTTTGCCTCAATGTTGGGTCTACAAAGATAATGACAGCACTCGACTTCATCTGTTGACATCCATTACCAAGCTGCAGGAATCAACTTCAGACCCTTCCCCTAGTCTTCTCCAAGGCAAACCCCATGACCCTGAGGCTCTCCTTGCCTGAATTGTCTGCTGCACCCCAGCCCCAAAAGTTTTGGGATCGCAAACTAAGCATGCATAAATGAAAGCGCATAATTTTCTTGTGGCTCCCTATTTATTGTCAGAGTGTCTTTTCAACAAGTCCTTATTATTCAGAAGTAGTATAGTAAGTGCTTTCAAGCAGCGCCATGAAATATAGGAATACCTGCAACTTCCCCTGCTGAAATTTATAGGCATTTTAAAGAAGCTGGGCTGCACACAAACCAAAAACCCCCATGCACAAACTGTTGCACAAAATACTGTGGATCCTACAGCCTACTGGAAACAAGTAGATTCAAAAGTAAAGAAAAATATCTATACCTATACCTATATGCAAAATGGGTACTATTATTTTTTCTGTGCCTTTTGAAAATGTAATAAAATGCATAAACTGTGCTTTCTATGTATTTTTTTTTCTGCAGAGACAGAAGTGATGTTTTCACAGCTCCACACTTAAAATTACTTTACTCCCTGTGCCGTTAAATCACCATGGGTAGTACCACAGCATCCTTCCCCACTGACAGACGGGACGATCACTATTTTCTTTTCCACTCAGCATCCCCTAACACTGACTTTTTGAGAAGGTTCACGCTCCAAGAATAATTTCAGGTCCATATACCATGGAGTTAATATGCAGCCTGGGTCATCAATATACATTTATTTTTCTTTTCAATATGTTTTCAGAGGGCCTTTCCCCAAAAGGCTCTTTTGCACTCAAAAGGGATCACTGGCTATTGAAGTCTGTGCTGCGCTTCATTTCCGAAGTTCGGGTCAGCCGCTTGACTGCTCTTGGTGGTGCTGCTTAACACCTCTGCCCTGATTTTTGGGTTGTGATAGAGGCACAAGCTTTAAAAGCTCTTTTTATAGAGTTTTGTCCAGGCAAAGCTCTCAAGTTCAAGTTAACCTCTTTGTTTCTGAGTTACAGCAGACCTATGTTTTGCATATAGTTATAGAAAACCCAGGAATGGAGGAGACAGTGCTACAGTGGGCCAGTTCCCATGACCCTATATGCCTTCAAGCAGTCATTTACAGTAGTTGTGGGGTTTTGTTTTTTTTTTTGGCCTTATGCTACAAAGCAAGAAATGGGGTCAGGGAAGGATCTTTGATTTTGTGAGAGCAGAAAACTGAGGGTGTTTTCTCAGGGTGCAAAGGAACCTTTCCAGCTGACAAACAGGGTGATAACACAAGTTAATATGTTGGCACCGAGACCTTTCTGACACTGGAAATAAAAGGTGATAATTTCAGTCACTGTGAAAAGTTCATGTGGATACCTTCATCACGTGGGACATATTACAGCGTAACCTCTAGCTGCAGACAGCGGCTATGCCTACCCTGGCTGTGACATATAGCTCCCAATTAGCACTTAAGGAAAGAGACTTTACAGACTGCACACTCACCTCTGCTCAGCCCATCCGGTCCCCGAAGGATTCTGCATTCTTCTATCTGGCCGAACGGAGAAAACATCACCCTGATATCATTCTCATTACACTTCTTCGAAACCATTCCTATGAACAATTTTCTGTCTTCCACAGCTAGAAGATAAAAATAATGAATGAGCAAAGGCCATTTCATCTTTTTCCTGTGATCAATGCTTCATTACCACATCAAACCAAGCTCCAGTCATGTGAGTCTGGCTCTGTAACTGAAGACAAGTCCTAAGGCAAACACTTTATACTTACAACCTCCCTTCCCCCCTTCCTCCCCCACCTCAAATCTCTCATTTTTCTTTCTCCTTTTTCTAGTGGTGCTTGCTGTTTATATAACATATTAATTGGCTGCCTTAGTCATTCTGCATATGCCTCCCCATCTCGGCTTCTAAGAGAAAAGCATCCTCTGTTAGACTTTTAAAGATATCTTTGCATAGATTTTAATTCAGATAAAATCCCTCACCTCTCTCATGTATGAAAGAAATCATGACAGGGGTGAGGGTGAAGAAGGGATTGTGCACATAATGATATGAGCTAATGAAAAATATTCCTGAGAAATGTTTTGAGAGAGAGGCTCCTATCTGAGCTTTCCATTTCAACCAACTTAATGCATGGCACTCAAAAGGCAGATGTGTAACGACTGCTCTGGAAAAAGAATGCATTAAATTTTCCTGGTTTTTTTTTCAGACTGACACAGCCCTCTCCCCTCCAAGAGGACACAAAGCATATTCTAGGGCATCACTTTAACAAGGCGGCTGCATAATGCTTTCCCAGAGCCAAACCCTTTGATTCGTAATGATGCTGAGTTTGCAAAAAAAACGTGAAAAAGGTGAGTTACCTGAATTATTGGCAGAATATTTCCTGCCTGCCTTGTCATCAGAACCAGCAGAAGCTAGACCGCTGCAGCAGGACACATGCAGTCCTGTTAATCAAACTCAAACTGACAAGACTAAAGCTGTGGACTCTTGTCAAAAATGAAATAGGTCATCAAAACTTAATTCACACTGGAAGGACTTAAAAATGTGAACGTACCCTCCCATCTATACTAAAACCAAACCCTAAGTGCTTATTATACAGTATATACACCAGAGCTTTCTTCTTCTCTTGAAATGGCATGTAAATCCAATTCACTGTTAATGAGCAGACTGTCAGGGTTTGCAGGGAAGCAAAGAGAGAAGGAAAGCTTTACTCCAGAGAGTCTGCAGTGCACTTCCTTATTTCTATTATTGTGCAAATTATTTTTGTAACAAAGTATTTTCATTTCTGGGCTTACCAAAAAAAAAAATAAAAATCTTCCCTTGCTCTCCAACTCTCTCTCCTGTATTACTATGAGTTTGTCAAATGGAATAAATTGTAGCTGAGGAAGAAGAAACTGCATCTATTTTCATAGGCTTGTATTTATTTTATACTTCAACACTTTAAGTGCATTTAATAATTTCAACAATATAAAGAAGAGGTTCATGTTTATTGATCGTGAGAGGTGTTTGAAGTAATTTTTTCCTTAGAATCACTGAGTTTAAAAAGTATTTGTAGCTTTTATACAAGCAAGCACCAAGACTGTGCATTTTTCAGAATCCAAAACAGAGACCAGCCCCTACAATCCCAGCTTCTCACTCTCCAAGCTTGCAAGAAAATTGGCGTGAATTTAACACCCAGAAGTTTTTCTCAGCAGAGATTCCTCAAGACTCAATATTTTCATTCACACTTTATATTGAGGTTGCACATGCAGGTTAACCCTCCAGAAAGGGTTAACAAATGATGAATGCATGGGATGAGCCAGTTATATAGAGATCAGGAGCTGTATACGAGGGATTGCAAATAAGATCTGCATGTTGGGATTTTTTTGTATATATGTATATATATATTTATGTCTTGCAATGAAACTTTACATCTGATTTCTAATATATAATTGGCCTTAGTGGTGCTACTAATTATTTTAAGGATGGTAAAACTGAATTGCCTGCTCACAGCCACAAGCAGAGTCTGGGTAATCACTTTTGCTGGTAAAAGAATGCTGGTAACTTGGCTGTGTACAATTCCTATATTGCCTTGAGTAACCTCCTTGAGGAAGGGCCCTGGCCAACATGTCCCCTCGACAGCGGCCACGCACTATGGCCAGGGTGCAGGAAAGGGTATGAGGCACTGGAACCAGCTGGGCTGCCAGGTGTGGACTTCTCCATAACACAAACTGAGGTCAGGCTGGAAGAAGCCTTGGTGCCAAGAACGGGTCCAAGCATTGCCTTCTGCTCTGTGTTATAAACCTCTGAACTTCTGCCTGTGTGACAGCTAGTACCAGCCAATTTAAATTTGGGTTGATTTTAGGCTTGAAATACAGTGTGCAGGTCTACCCTAAGGGTGACTAGGTCCCAACCCTCTCTTAAAAATAGCTGCTGGCTGAGTTGGACAAATGCCTGCCACGCCATCCCAATGGAGGTCCCTCAGGTCCTGCGTAGGTGCAAGGACAAAGACTCCAACCAAAGAGATTCACATGGAGATTCAAAGGAAATGAGATGCAAACAGGAAGGCTTTGTTTTAATTTTCCAAAGAGTAGCAGACGACAAACTCCCCACCGGCCTTCTTCAGTTTCTCTAGTAAACCTATAAATATGCCATTTAACTAACATGATTTGCAGGTTTTCAGCTTGAGGGTGATTTTATAGTAAATTAAACATCCAGCTCCTGTGTACTGTACATCTTAAAAATGCAGATTTCACGAAGAATGCTCAGAGTACAGAAAACATATTGATATGATGACGTGCTCTGCATTCAGTGCTATTAGTCAGCGCTGATCAGTGTTGAAGCTTAAGAAAATTGCTATTCTTTTTTTTGGCTAGGGGCCCAGCATAAAAAAAAAAAAACATTTAAAGGCACAATTGTCAGGATCAAAATGACACGTTTTCACCCCATCTGATAGAACATCTGATATTATTAGGCTGAAAGAGTTTTTAACGATGTATTCTCACACAGAGAAAGGAATGCTTTTTCACCTCTGTAAAACTGGCCGTCTGGATTTGTTTCTGCATTTTTGGTCAGCCAGTTCTCTCCTTTCTTTCTCAAATGAATTCTTATCTGCCACGCAGGCATGATTTGAGAATCAAATAGACAGCGGACTGCAAGAAGTATGGGTCAAATGTATTTAGAGGTTACCAAATTTCCCTTTTGATCAGCCAAGCCTGCTGATCTGCCTGTGCGTGTGGGGTTGCTCCCATAGACTGTAAAAGGAAGAGCCCAACATTAAACACACGCGACCCAACAGAGCATTGAGATCGGGAAAGGTGCTACTTTCTGCTTGTTGAAGAACGGATGGCAGTCTAAAGCCATCTCGCCTAGCTTTAGACATCTACAGTTTAGGTGCCCAGTTTTAGTCTCAGCTAAAATATTATCAGTTGGCTGTTGTCAATGCCAAGAGATCAGCTCCTCCAAAGAGTGGTGGATCTCACCTCTCCCAGCAAGATGGGACGGCTTGTTTCATGGGAGGCTCTCCCCCCTACTGACAGTAGATAGGGCTGTTACTTTCCAGCCAACTCCCAAAACTGGGTCATCATGGTAACATGTAGATACCCTGAGCTCCAGCTGCAGGGACAGGAGGAATAGGTGAGCTCTGAGGGACTGGACGAAGCTTGGGAGCTGCAAGTGCTTTGGGTGAGCACAAGGGTCAGCACCTGCGTGCACCCATCTCATAAGCACGTCACTGCTGCTTGGTAGTTCTCTCTCCCACACTAGGGGTAGGGTTCAATAATTCAAAATCCTGAAAATTAATAAAAATTTTTTAGAGAGCTTTTGATATCACTATTTCTGAACCTTGCTCATAGGCCCAGTTGTACTTTCTGGCTGTTTTGCACCACGCTGGGGGAATGAAGCAGATTCTGTAAGCAGCTAGTAGGATACGGTGGCTGAGTACCCCTTGCTGATGGAGCAGAAGCCAGAAGGCCACAGTGAACAAGGCCTGGAGTTTTAGTTACACGAAGGAAGGTGTGAAACTGCACAGTATCTTGATTAACTTGTTACGGGGTTCACCTCTAATCCATCCAAACATAGAAGAAACACAGGTGAGCTGTGCTGCCAGGGCAGTTAGTGCAACACACCCAGTGCTAAGCATGCTGGATTTGGGGTGGGAATCTTTTGCCCAAATGCAGGAACCTTGTGCGATGAGGTGTTTTAAAACGAGATGAGTTGTTCTCGTAACTCCATCAAGACTAGCTCTGCAATCACTGGCATGGGTGCCTAGGTGTCGTGTTTGAAACCAGAGGGCTACGTTAGCCATCAAAAGTTATCTGAGAACAAGTCTGCCTCTGCAGGGAGGTTGCTTTTTTCAAACCGAGCCTCCTGCCTTCTGACAGCCCTACATCCAACTTGCAGAATAACATCCTGAAGGGTCTAATTTTTTAGCTTTACTCAATTTGCTTCAGTAATGAGCATTTCTTGCAGGATGTATTAGATTGCTTGTGCTAACCCAGGAGAATAAAGGAGTAGAGATTATTTTCTGTATGCTACAAAAGAATTAAACCCTGTAATAATCATGGGAAATCTCCCCAAAGATTCAACAAACTTTCCTTTTCTCTGTTCTAAACCCCCAAAATTCTGTCCTGAAAAATCACAGTTATATCCCTTTATTATACATTTTTGAAGAGTCCAGTCAGTTAAAGAGTGCATTTTTCATCCAGAAGTTGCCTTCTCTTTTGAGGAAATCAAGAAATAATTAATTATGTACAATTTATTTTTTTTTTTTTCCATCCAGAAGGGAAGGGGGGAAAACAGACTTTTTATTCCTATTTGTAAGCCTGTGAAAAACCCTTGCATACAATCTGTCAAAGTCACACCTGGATCTGGAGCTGCCTGCATTAATTATCAACTTTTCTATGTGTTAGTGCTAACATATGGCATCTAATTACTGCCTCCAAATCGGCAAAGTTGTGCCACTCAGAATTTCAAAATTATTTCTTCAAGTTTTCACTAACAAAATAAATAAAAATAAATTATATGATCACTCAGCTACCCCTTCCCCCCCTTTAAAAAAAGAAAAAAAAAGAAGATAATTTTGTCATTTTCCCCAAAGTGGTGATGCTTTAATCCATTTAAGAGCACACTCTCCTCAGGATATGTGCCCGAAAGTATTGACTGCATTCAAATCCTGATCCAAGAAACATTTAAGTATTTGATAAATTGTAGCATGTTAATGGCCACAGACAAGTTAAGAGTCAAGCATGGCTTTATGGGCTTTTTGGCATTAGAGTGCAGGAACCCCCTTTGTTTGAAAAAGGGAAAATATCCTTAAGTGGACAAATACTGTGAGTGATTAACCATTGAGATGAATCCAGCAATGGTAGAGCCTTCAAAGTCTTCAAACCATGCTTTTCTGGCAGGTAATCCTTAACCAGAACTTTGTAGATAGGTTAAAATAACCACCTAGCAATATAAAGGTGGTCAGACTAGACCTAATGGGGATCAGAACAGGACACACTACAAAATTCATCCTCTGAAAATTTTTCCAGGATGTTACATTTCCAACAATAAAAGTCTTTTCAGAACCCTCCCAGGTAGATAAGTTAATTAGATCTAAAGGCAAGTCTTTCCCCATCAACTCTAGCTGCTAAAAGCTTGGTGGAAGAAATTAAGCTTTGTTTCATGTGCACGAGCAGAGAGATGACTTGTATACGTGAGCTGTTGTATGCAGGGAAGGAAGGGAGATGATTGCATAGATCTATCAGCCACCCAGTTCCTACCCAGAAGAAAACAGATCTTCAGGTTGCTAACAAAGTCCTAATCCTGCGTGCCCAGGCATGCAGACGGGTGCAGGACCTCTTCCATACCCATCTCCCAGTTTCCACAAAGCAAGCTTGGCCTTTTGTGCTAAGGGACGGGTTCCTGAAGTGATGCCTACATCTAAAGACAGGAACAGTGATGGGGAAGGAGAAGCATTTCATCCTGGTACTCCTAGGCTTGGATGCTCATTCAAACCCGTTTGCAAGGGACTCATGATGGGGAGGGGACATCATCTTATCACACAGCAAATACTGTTCTTTGAAAACCTCTATAAGATGAATGAGGGGAGCTCTCCTTCTTCCCTGTGGAACTTGAAGAGGTCTTAAGCCTTCACAAATGTGACCAAGCTCAGAAGAATTGTAACGACTGTTCAACCTCTCCTGCATATCTTTCCACAAGCTAGCTGGAAATTTTGACCAAAAGAATTTCTTTAACCTCTTTGAAACTTGCAAACCACAACTTTAACTATAAAATGTAGTGAGAACCTCCCACTACTCAGAAATCAAAGGCTTTCAAGCATTCCTCAAAAGCTCCAACACCACAAATCATGAAAACCAAGATGCGTTGGCATGCTTTCTTTCTTTTCCCCTTTGAACTTACCAATCTGGTTGAAAAGTTACACTTTACAATTTGCAGTTGGCACAGATAATATACATCCTCAGATGGATAGCCTGAGGCATATGGGAAACATGTGCCAAACAGGCCTCCGCATCCCCAATGCTGCTGTTCTTTCTCTTTTTGGCTCTCCAAGCTGCTTGCAAACTCTCACCTCCTCCATGGATGCCACGCCTACACCCCATCTTTCCAGGGAGCTGTACCATTGTTCTCATCACCATGGTATTAGTTCGCCTTCTGTTTCCCCAGTCATTAGAAAAGAAGAGTTCACCACCCCCAGAACATGCCTACCAGAAGTATCTACACTCTTCAGAAGTACAAATTTTAAAAGGTATTTAACTTGACAACTGCAACCTTTGATCTGTCAATGTTTTTTCCCCAAAATACAAAGACAGGCAAGGAAAAAAAAGCAAAAAAAAGGCCAGTCCCTCATAATTTTCATGATAGGGATAGGTGCAAGAGAATACTCTGAAGATTAAGAGTAGTCTTACAGTGCAGACAGAAGTAGCATGCAGATAATCCCGATCTAGCAGCAGCAGTGAGGAGCTAATCTACCCTGCCTTCCAAGCAGGTGTTATTTGCAGAGCAAGACAGAATTTGCACAAATCCCCATAGCACTTTGCCAAAATGTTCAATCTCCTTTACGAAGAAAAACTTCAATCAATGAACAAGTAACTCATTGGGAGTCTCTTTGGGCCCATTGCCTCTTATTTGGAACGGGCTGCCCAGGGAAGTGGTCGAGTCCCCATCCTTGGAGGTATTTAAAAGCCAGGCAGACGAGGTGCTTAGGGACAGGGTTTAGTGGTGGGATGGCAGGGTTAGGTTAATGGTTGGACTTGATGATCTTGGCCTCTCTTCTGAGCATTCAAAGAGAGCAGCAAATCACAGCTAAAACTCACCCCGAGAGAGAGAACACCACTCTCACAAATGGGTGATGGCTCAAATTTCCTGTCCTTGTGGCCAGTTTTGTTTTGAAAGTTGTCATAATAGGAAAGCTAGCGTAATGTGAAGTTTTAATTTCCTTCCAAACTTTATAATCCTTAGAGAAGCCTGAAAATGGGATGCACTACAATTAGCAAAAAAGAAGCCTTAAAAAAGCCTTGCGGAGAGATTTAGAGCCCAATCATAATTTACATTTGCAGGTATGTAGATCTCTAAGTGCACGGCTTCTGCCCTGATTACTAATTAATGAGGTGCAAAGATGCCTGTTGGAGGAACCAGCTCTGATTATCTGGGCCTTATGGGAAAATGAAGCTCTTGCAATCTAAGAAGGCAGATGATATCTTTAACATATATTTTAGAAAATTACAGGAACAAATCAAGGGGCAAAATATACACATGTATATATTTTTAAAGAATCACACACAGCCAGGCTGCGTTACCATCCGATTATCTTATTTCCTTGGGTATACAAACCTGGCATGTTTAATAGATTTAGCATGCCATCTATTTTGCATGCCATATACATCCACTCAGGCAGTACCCTAGTATTCTGAATGGATATTACTGTCATTATAGCATTCATTTTACAATCATTGAGAGGAATAAGTATACAGAAAACTGCAAGGTGGGTTTCCCAGTTCAGAACCAAGCATATGATTAAAACCTAAATTTGGCTCAGATTCAGAACATCATCGTTCTATAAAAAGGAAGTTTAGGCAAATGTTTAAGGCCCATCAGCTGCTCATGCGGTTTGTTAACATGGGCATGTTTTGTATTTCTTTTTTTTTTTTTTCTTTTCACCATTAAATTTTAATCTCCATCTTATCAATAGCAGGTGCTCCTGCATCACCTCACTGCTAGGAGAACACAAAAGACGTATGTAGTGAGGTAGACCGTGACATACAGCAGGTACAAGGAAGACCATTTTTCAGAACATTTCCCTCCTTCTTTAAAGCTGAGAATAATTTTCACCACACAAGGAGTAAAGCAAAAACTCTCACAATGTTGTGTTTGCTTTAGTTTAGAGAAAGTCACTGTTAAGTAAAAATAAATTAAACACATACCATTTGACTTTTCACTATCTGCAGGTTTCATCTGAATAGGATGATGCATCTAAAAACAAAAATGAAAGAGAGTAAGGCAGGTTGGATAGTCATAAAAATCACGATTCATGTTTTTAATGAAGGGCTTAAAGGATACATGATTAATATTAAACATGCTGAAATGATATAAATTCAAAATAACGCTATATTATAGGCTTTTAAGAAAAAATAAAATGGTAAAGGAGCATTTTATAACCAGGAAGATTAAAAAAAATAGATCATTGGGCCCACAGGACTCATATAAAACTTTAATTTGCTGTATCTAGTTTCAGAAGACCTCTAAAGTTACAGCCCTCGTTGGTTTATGGCATGCTTGGTTTCTGTTTTACCAACTTTTTTTCCTTGAGCTCAACCACTGCCAAAACCAAGATGGAATTTTCAAGTAATTTAAGAGCTAGCAAGCATTTCAAACATACTCAGAGGAGTTGAGTTTGACAAATGAACTTTGCTTGTAATTAAAAAAACATGTGCTGATTCTTTCAGGACTGAAGAGGAAGAGACTTCTGCTTCCTGTAATAGCTTCCTATAACTGTTTAGTATCTCCTCTTTTCTTTTTTATTTTTTTTTAGAGTACATATGCATTCATTCATAAAGCTTCCATCACAACACAGCACAACTCTGGCTTCCAGAAAAACTCTTAATACTTCTTCCTTTTCAACTTCTTCCTCCATTCACGTCCCTCTCACCACAAAAGAAACCAAGCTCTGTGCAGCACGCTCCTCTGAACACCACATGGCATCCTACCGTGGCACACTCGGGATGGTGTGTCCTTGGCTTTCACTACTAAGTGATGCTTCCTGTACATTGAATTGTTGATAACTCCAACAAAACTTTGACGAATGGTGTTTTCTGTTGTTTCAGGAATGGCAACACCACAACAGTTGAGCTCCTTCTGATCAGGGTGTGTGGCGTTTCCACTGGACATTGGCTATACCCTATGCCCGCTATGACGGATTCCAGGAAATTTTGTTACAACTTCTCAAAAGCCTTCAGAACTGACCTCACATTGAATTTCAATGTGGGAGATTTTTAAGCTTGCAAAAAAACCCACTTTTCTTTCATCAGGCTCTGCAGAATTGCTGGGACTTGACTGCACAAAACCTTCCGGCAGCAGCAGGGCCACTGCCTTTTCTCTCCTCAGCAATTCCTCACCATTTCACGTGAGCATGAAAAAAAAAATAAAACTATGCTCTTTTTGCTTTTGTGTCATTTTTCAGTGCAGCAGAGCTGAGTATTGCCTGGAAATGTCAGAGACAATTCCATTTTTTTAATAAAAGACTATTATGGCAAGCTTTGGGAAACAAAAACAGCTGAGCAGGAGAGAACATCCATGCACTCGTATCAAATGTGCTTTCAAAGCCGCACAGAAAACCAAATCTGCATTGCTTTTGGTGGAGTCACTTAACCTCCAGGGACACAGTTGCTAGATTCTTTAGAAAATACAAAATATTGCTGTGAATGTTTCCCTAAGATTTACTCAAAGTCCAAAACGCTGCCTGGCCCTGCAAATCAATGCATTCCTTGTACTGCTTGCAAAACTCCCCACTGTGCCCGAAAGAAAAGGCAAAGCCACAAGGTGAATGTAGTCACCAGGATGCATAAATTTGCTTCAATTTTAACAATTCTGTTCTTTTTGAATCATTTGTTTCCCAAATGGACTTTAATAGCCCAGCACTTATCTGCCACCACTCTTATTCAATCTAATTTATAGAAAAAAAGGGAACTTCTGTTGTACTCTGTCTTCTTTAACTAGTGCTTAACATTTATCCTGGCATCAACAATACATTGGGCACTGCAGGAGACTTCAAATTCATGGGAATGTGATGCAGCATGGCCACTCAGCAAGCCAAAAGTGGAAGAAGAAGGAAGGTGTAACTTGCTCCATGAGCCCGTTACAGCTATTGACGTCTCTGCGGAGCAAAGGAGTGGCGAGAAAACAGAGGAAAGAAAATCGAGTGTTGTAAAGCTGGGAATATGCAGGTTATAGAAGAAAAACCCAATCCAAATCCAGACCTGATGTAAACAGAGAATCTATCGCTCTTTCTAGCTGCATTGGTATGCCCCTAAGTGGAGATACTTTGAATAAAGGCAATTCTAATGTTAAAAACCTTTCACTTTTCAAACTGCCAGAACTAGAGAAGCCAACTTTAGACCAAATTCATGCGAAGTTGTTATTTTTGCAGCCCCACGGTCACAATATAAAGATCAGTGTTACCTGACAAACACAGCTACCACATCGGAAATCATCCTCTTCTGTTAGGCTTAATTGCCCCAAGTTCATTAAGTCAGTAATCTGTTATGTTGTAAGGCAAGAGGCAAGATTTAACAAGACACTTTAACTAGGTTTTGACTTGATTTCAAAGGTTCCTGCTAAAAAACCCATGGTTCAAATTCTCTTCGCACCAGCAAACTGAAGTCAGGAGTGATGCCGTTGTGCTCAACAGAATTATATCGTTGAGAAACTAATAAAAGATTCAGACCAGGCCTAGAGGGTTTAAACCACAGAATACCCACGGTAAAATGGATGCGGTACACAAACATGGCTTCGGCGAAGAGGAAGGTGGAAAAATACGTTACTGACAGTTTCCTAACATGAGAGGGCTCGTGTTGAAGCTTGTTTAACCCTGACCATCACCAATTGATACGTTAACAACCTTTAACACTAGATTCAATAAAACATGCCATTTATAACCTGAAATGGGTTTTACAGAGTCACTGGTTCGCATCTCATTAGTAAACTCATTGCTGACCTCTAGAGACAACTGCCGTGACAATACATATTATAAGCTCTCTACCCATAAAATATTTAAAAGTAAGTGTAAAAAAGAAAAGAAAAGGAAAGAATGAGTCTCAAAGAAGTGTGCAGCGAATAAGAAAATTAAAGGGGCAGAGACAAAGGCTAAATAGGTACTATCCTTTCACTCTACAATGAGCAAAAGAGAAAATAATCTGTGCGGTTTATGTCTTGTATAACTGCAGGCTATAAAATAATAAAATAGCTGTGCTTTCCGAGGCCCTCCAAAAGATTATAGATGATATAAACCTGTTTCAAATTAGATGCCACCCACTAGAATCATGTCATCTACCGAAATGAAGGATTTCATGTCTTATCAGAAAGCTGTTATTGTAGCTATACATCACAAAGCCGTACACTTATGGATCTCAAGGTAAGTGATTTCTCAGTATGTCACGTTGTCACGCAGAAAAACAGGAAACATTTTCTTCTGTGCTTGAAGAAAGCTTTGCTTATGAAAAATACAGTATTTATGAATGCACAGTTGCAATTAATAAATACGCAAGAGTGAAAAAAGTAACTGCGGTAAATAATTTATGGACATTAACATCATCCTGTGCTCAGACCCTATAGTAAAGGAGAACAACAGAGTTCTCAGGCAAGCTCTTTCTGAGTATGGGCAGCTTCCCCAGCAAGCACCGTGCACGGGGACATTGAAACCAGACTGGAGAATGGGCTGTAAGGAATAACCTCTCCGTGGCAATATTTTACAGAGCTCTACGGGATGCAGTTGTGCAGCCAGTAATGGCACGACCTCCCTTTCCTATAAGAGCTTTCTATCCATAGGGCTCCAAACACACCATCACCACTGTTTTACAACTGAGAGCAGGCAAATGCCTCTTGCCCCAGGTCGTGCGGTGCCTTGCGGCAGCGCTGGCAGCAAAGCGGAGGCTCCATCCGCTGCCTGCGCTGTCACGGAGGCCATGCAAAGCCTGAGGCCAAGCACGTCACTGCTTCTCCTTGGGTGCATCCCAAGTAGGGTGCTGATGTGGTCCACGGGAACCAAAAAGGAAAAGAAACAGTTGTCAAACATGCAATCCTGAAAATCCCCTGAAATCAATGGGAATGTGGCCACTGGCTATGTCGAGGGCAGCAGCAGGACCGAGCCACAGCCTAGAATTACAATTTACTAGTTACATCTTTTTTTCCCCCTCTTCTTCCTGAGTACATCCCACCATATGTAAATATAACTGCAGTAGTAGAGAAAAAAACACGGCAGAGCAACCCCAACACCTCTCAAAGGCATGCTTCCTCTCCAGCTTTAGAGCCTCAAAGTCATCTTCTCGACAATAATAACGCTACCTATTTACATTCTTGTCAAAGCCATGTGACATCTGCATGGGAGAAAACAAGCTGGCTAAGAGTCTATTTCTGGCAAAAATATTGCAAGGAAATTAGATTAACCTGGGTGGAATTCTATCTGGGAATTTGGAGTCTGTCGTGGTGATTAAGTCATCATTTCTGTCAGATTACTCTAATCGGCTGTCAAATACGATTCCACAACCCCATCTGTAACTTGGCATCCTCGTTATTCAGTCGATGTTACCTTCTGTATACAAAACAAACACCAAACAAGGAGGTGTGTGCAGCCTAGCATTTAGCAGAGTCATTAGCTGTGATTACTATTGTGTGCTTGCACATTGCACGAGGCGATCAGCTTATGGCTTGTTTTATTTAGTCAGGGGATGCTTCAAATCGGGTGTAATCTTAAGCTCGGAGCACCAGGGGTGAATGGGAAAGAACTATCTCCAGGCATGGCCGAGCATGGGATTGGCACGCTCTGAGTCACCGCTGCATCACCAGCAATAGCTTAAATCTCATTTCAGAGTTGTCAGCCCATTTGGTGTCAACAAGGTTTTTGGGCACCTGCTTTTCCATCCATTTTCTGAAGAGAAATGGGCACTCAGATGTTCTAGGTAGGCTAAAGACTTCCCGCGAGCAGTCATTTCTGCGAGTGAAGCCAGGTTTGTAGACTGAGGCAGTCAACACTAAGTGTTCTATATTGGTTGGTTTAATAAGAGGTATTTTGTTATATATGTATGTTTGTCTTACATAGGACTTTGGTGATTAAAAAAGCAGGAAATGCCTTTCAGTGAAGATGAAGGAGCTAATGGGCTCAATTTGCTGCAGCTGTGTTCAGTCTGTGAAATTTGGGTGCCCTCAGCACCTCCAAAACACTGGCCATGTAATTAGACTACAAAAAAATCGTTATTTTA